ACTGGCTGGAACAGGACGATGTGGATCACATCACATCCACGATGCTCTCCGCACCACGACTTCATTCCATCAGTTGGCTGAGCCAGAAACCGTTCACAACACTCACCTTTCCCTGGGCACAGCTCACGCACTTCTGGCTGAGCCACATCATTTCGATGACTGTGGGTCTCCGCATCATCACATTCTGCCCGGGCCCAACCCAGGCCCTCAGCTCACATCTCTAGAGCTAATGCTCATTCTTCCTGTCCAAGTTACAATCACAAACAGCTCTGGCCCAATTGTTCACAACAATCTACAACGCCTCCATCTAAGCATGGTGGGCGACCTCGGAATTCTCTTTGACAAGCTTACGCTACCAGCTCTGAATGATCTTTTGCTCTCTGAAGTCCACTGGTCCTTTCCCAACATTACCCCTGTGTACATCAGCCACTGGCCACAATCCCAGTTCCTTGCATTCCTCCTTCGTTCTGTGTGCACCGTCAAACACCTCATTATACAAGAGTGCGATATCTCTGCGGAGGAGATGCTGGAGTGCCTTGCACACCCTCAAATATCAACATGGTTGGATTCGCTGTCCATCACAGAGGATCATCAAAGGCATTTATGCGTGACGGAGGAGGTGTTGAGGCAGTTGACGTATACCACCTTCACAGAAAAGGTTCTGCATAGTGGGGACGATCTGCCAGCGGAGGAGACCATTACTGAGACACTCTGTCTGAATCTCAGCACCATCAAGCTATGGGGATGCATTTCTGCCCAGGATGGGAGAGTGGCGGATATGGTTGAGTCGAGGTGGTCATCGGCTGAGAATTGCCCCGTTAAGCAATTGAAGATGGCGGTCATTGGGCTTTTCGCTAATGCATGTCATATGGAGGATTGGGCTCGGTTGCAGGCGTTGCACTGGAAGAGGTTTGGGATCACGTATCTTCGACTTTAATATGATGGTGCGTCTATTTTGATTTCTGTCATATGCATACGCGCACATGTTCGAAATTTAGGTTCCTCGTTGCGAGCTTTTGAAGTACATCCATCACCAG